CCAGCACATACACACACACACACACACACACACACACACACACACACACACACACTGTACACATACACACACTGTACACACACACACACTGACCCGCTGAAGAAGAGGAGGACTGTTTATAAATATGTAAACAAACACTTTGTTTGTTTGTTGACTGTAAATAAAGCTTTAATCTTTTGCAGATGACTGATATTTATAATTATTGTTTCCCTCCAGTTGTTTTTAAATTCTGCAGAATATTTAGTTTATTGAATAAAAGTGTTTAAATTTAAGACCTGAATGTGTCTTTAATGTATAAATCTTTATTTGTTTTATAGACCTGGATGAACAGTGTTGGACTATTTACTCTATAAAAAGTAATATTACTTTACTTATTACTCCCTGCCAACAGTAACTAGTTACTCTACTGGTTATATTACTTTACTATTTCCCCAAAAACTGGTAATTCTGACTTAAAGTGATTAAAATCCAGTTTCCTCCACAGTTACAGGAATAAATCCAAGAAAACTAATGTAACTAATCATTTTTATTAAGTGGGTAATTAATAATATTACTGACTGTATTAGTAATTAGTTACACTACTAGATACTGGGGAAAGTAATGAGTTACTTCCCAACACTGATTACAAACCAGATTTATATGAACTTAAAGCTTAAATACTGTCTGCTCTCTACCTTAATATACGTATAATATAATAATATAATAATATAATATATAATATAATATATCATTTGGAATATAAAACAGATCAATATTACACCTGAATAATAGTATTTAAATATAAATATTGTTTAGAGGGACGTATAGTTTTGACAACAAACGCCACATTTTGCTTATTTTCTGTGTTTTTAATGAAGTTTTAACCTGTTAAACAGATCTCACGTGGTTGATGATAATAATAATAATAATAATAATAATAAAGTTTATTTCTGTGCAGCCTTCAGATAAACTAACAGGACTTCAGGGTTTAGGTCACGACCTCCTGCTGCCGCCTGATCTCGTCCACAGTTTGCAACTTAAACAAGTGTTATAGAGAGATTGTTATATTAATATTTAGATATTCATAGATTCAGGAGTTGTTAATGAGATGCAGAAACCTTTTAAAGCCTTTTAAGGTGGAAATTGTAGTTTTTTGGGGGGAAGGAAAACACGTCAGACACGTGATCGACATGTTGAGATGTCAGTTAATCATTTATTAGGTAAAAACACTCAACATTTGCTGGTTTCAGCTTTATGATGAGGATTTAATCTGGATTAGTGATTCATCAATGGAGCCAAACAGGAGTTGATTATTAGTCTGTAAGAACAACAACAGCTGCGACGATCTGAAACTAGTTCATAGTTCCTGCAGTTGTTAGGATTATTTTATCTCCTTGAGGAGGCTCCAGAGGGTCAACAGGTTTATTTTAATTTCATTATTGTTCCTCTGGTTAAAAATGGGCCCGTACTCACCGGTTCTTCTGATTATTGTCCACACAGAACCTCAGGTGAGCACGGCCACACCGACTGCTGAGCTCTCCAAGGTCTGGACCTCGGTATTTTCAATGAAAGTTGTTTTAATTAATTACCTAAAAATGACTACAAAAGAAATATAGCTGTGCTGAGACTTTTCTTGGTCCCAATTCACCGCCACTAAACTTCCAGCGATTAATTAAATTCTATATTTAGAGTATAACTGTTCCATCGTCATTGAAAACCTCTTTCATTTAGCTGCTTGTTAGCATCATAAAAGCTTCAAAAGTCACAGGTGGGGTTATTTACTGACGTGTTTTATGTCGTCAAACAAAAAGTGAAAGACTCTTAAGCCTGTTAACCACAGTCCTTATTTCAGGAACTCCAAAAAACTAACTGCCTTTGAGGAGGAGGAACTGTAGGTGCTAACTCAGCTGCAGGTTCTCTCTTCAATCTACAGACAGAAGAACATTTTCACGTCTTCTGCTGGGACTCGAACTATCAACCTTCTGGTAAACAGATCCATCATCTGAGCTGCAGGTTGCTTCACTTCTTCAAACCTGAAAGAAAACAAATAAAAGATCCACGAGACAAAAGATTTTTTTTAAACAGTCTGCAAAAACAACTGCTTTGTTTATTTATTTATTTATGTATCTATTAACCTGACTGCATCGTCTTCTGGAAACAGGAAAACTGCTCGGCTCGTTCACCCTGCAGACGACTGATATCTGAAGGCACTGTTGAACATTTCTGCTCAGTGGTCGCAAGTTTACTCATAACTGAACTCCAACGGCAGGAGGTGATGTTTGAAATCAGGAGCTTGTCCAACAGGCAAAACAAACAAACGAAAAACAAAGAGATGTTGCTGCTAATAACAGGTCGGTAGCAGTACGTCCGTGAACCACATGTTCCCATTTGGAGTTGAAATTACGCCGTTAACAGCAAACGAAGACAGAATAACGATCACAGCATGTTTAGCAGCTTTACCTTCAATGATTTCCCTAAACGATCTGCTCGTGTGACATAAAGTACGAGTTCAGGCCTTCTTCTGTGTCTCAGAATGGCTGACAATCACTGTATTGCTAAGTTTTTGTGATATTTAAACCCACACACACTTACGAGCTGTGTGGCGTTGATATGCGGAGTTAAGACAAGCGGCTTCATTCATTCATTCACAGGCCGAGGTGAGAGTCAGCGATCGTACCTGCTGTCCGCACACGTGTTTTTAAAGTGAATCTGTTCGACTGAGGCAGTTTGAGGGCGTCTGATCTCAAACCAGCTGTTTGTTTGTGTCGCGGCCCAGAAAACTGGTTCCAGAGCAGCACCAAACACAATCAGGCTCGCTTCAAATGTAAGTTTTTTTGCACAGAACAAAGGTTTTTGTTCGCCGTCACCTCGGGAAGGGCTCCAGTCTATAACTCTTTCAACTTACACACAGCCCCAGAAATATGCCTCCTCTTGCCCCTTTGGTTGAACTGCGGTTCACATCTATGTGTCTGTACTTCACCTCAACACGCTTCCTTCTGCCTTTTCTACGAGGGGACACCAAAGCTGCTAAATCTGACTAATGTTGATTTGCTTATCACCAGACATACACACTTTGTGAAACATTTTCTGGCTTCAATTCAGCATTCATCAACGCCTTCTGAAACCGGTGCGTTTTGGTTTTTTCTAAATCAAGTACGTATGTTTGATGACAAGGAAAAGAAACTGTTAAAAAGCCAGATTTCTCTCTGGGGTTTGTTAATACATCGACGCTGACTGAGCCACAGTCACAGCAGCAATTTTCAAAACAAAATCTCAAGTATGATCTTCAAGAGTCCGATCAGAATGGTCCAAAAGATCGACTCCTCCTCCTGAAAGTCCTCCTCCGCCGCCTGAGGGGATCTCTTCTGCTTGTACCCGTCCTCTGAAGTGTATGAGCCCTTATCGAACGGGTCCTGGGGAGCCGTCTGATCATAAAACACCCGCATTTCAAACTCGCTCTCCTTGTAAGACGGGTGCCCGTAAATCCCGATGCCCACGGGCCTGGAGAAGTCCCCCGGCACCACCACCACATCCCGGCCGCAGGTGACCGACTGCAGCTTGTACGTGTCGAAGCTCGGCCGCAGAGTTTTATCCGACACGTACAGGTCGGCGTCTCCCTTGAGGCTTTGCATGTGCAGGATGATCCGGCCGTCGTGGTTGAGGCGCAGGTAGCTGTAGTTTCCGGCCCCGATGTGGCCCTGGACCACGTGAAGCAGCACCCACTCCTCGGGGACGATGTCGTCGTCCTCCGAGGGGCCCAGGAAGCCTCGGACCTGGGACAGCAGGAGGGCGACGACCAGAGCGCTGCAGCTCAGCATCATGATGAAGGCATCTGTCGGTCACCGCCTGGACGACAGCAGACAGCCTGAGACGGGACGAGAGCCACGATGAATCCAGAGAAAGATAAAAACACACAGGTACGTTAAAAGAATGGTTATTTTAATGTTTTAAAGTAACTGATCGAACATTACAGCATATAAAACATCTGACAACAGTTAGAAATGCTCCGAGATGAGACTTTCAAACTGCGTGTTTTTGTCCTCATCCAAAAGATATTTAATTCATTTACAATATGAAACATTTGCACATTTAAAAAAGAGGATTTTTAACGTCAGATATTTTTGTGGTTACACATTCTGGGAGGAAATTAATTATTCAGCCACAAAAATGTTCGATGATCTTAATCTCTGGTGACTGTAACTCCTCGTGGGAGCAACAGGCTGAAAACAACGTGGTCCAGACAAATTACGGTCGTGTGAAACTTGAACATTATTTACTTTTTGTTCACAAATACTCTCTGCTCTTTAACGTGTCTGGATGAACCTGTTTTCTGTTCAAACAGATAGTTGTGGCCCCCTGTTGACCTGCTGCCTGTCACTGTATTGAACATCCCATAAACTGAGCGTTGTTTTCTGCTTTATATAATCCGTTTTCATCTCAGCACACGTTGGATAACGTATACGCCGGTTCTGATAAGATATATTAGTTCTGTCATTTAATAAACTGAATAAGTGACGTTTGATTTTTTTAATCTTATTTATTCTTTTTAGACAAATTAAGAGTTTTCTTGTCCCTGGAGCTTCACTGTTGCTCTATTACACCATTTATTTAAACATTTTACTTTACTTTTCTACACAGGAAGAACTAAATGTTGAGAAATAAACCCAATGTGTTTAAATGTGTTTATATTTTCTTTCCTGTCATTTAGTAAACTGATGATCTAATCGAACTAAGTGACATATTTTATGGGTTTTAAATGTGATTCATTATAAAAATTCATTCATACTTAAGGTGTTTTATTGACCATTCTTCTATTAAACCATTTAATAAACCAAGAACAACTAAATGTTGAGAAATAAACCTAATGTGTGTATCTTTAATGTTTTATAGCACCTTTTAAAACCAAGAACCACTGCTCTTAAAAACACACACATAAAGAAAACTGGGACTTTTAAGAGGCTCGAACACACGTGACAGTATATGAACCCAACAGACCTCAAAGAGAAAAACAAACAACAACATAAAAACAACCAAAACAAAGTAAACAAACATTAAATTAACCCCCACGAGCTGCAACAGACTCAAATCCAGCAGAGCTAAAAATAACCTGACCTTTAAACCAACCGACATTAACGCTGTCACCGACATTAACCCGCTTTAATGTGCACATTCACGACTTTACCGACACAGAAACATTTTAAAAACACTTTCTTTTTGTTTCTATCAACAATAATAAAACATCTTAAACGCTAACGTGCTAACACCAGTTGCCCCCCCCGCCAACACAACGTGTCTGGATGCAAACATCTGGACTGACCCTTCACGTAAAGGCTCCTGGTTGCGTGCCTTTCCCTATCGATCACTCTTATCGATCACTTTACCTGCTGGCTCTCTTTCTGTGATTTATCTTTATTGAACCACGTTAGCTTCCGCGCGGCTAGCTGGTGGAGCTAAATCCGACCGCGTTTCCAGGCAACGGAGGACGACAGCAGGTTAAACTTTAGTTATTAACGTGGAGGATTAGATGTTAATGTGTTAACGCGCCGTTTTTTTTACACTTTAAACCGATTTAATGACAGAAACTCTCATTTTATGACCTGCTTCAAGTTCTCTTCTTCGCTTCCTCGTTTCCGGCCACTCACCGAGCGGGAGCTGCTCACTGGCGCCACCCGCCGGCGGACCCTGCTCACTGCAGCCTCCAGGGTGTAATTACACCTCCGGATGTGATAAAAGTTTAAAGTTGGTGATTGTGTAAATATTTTACAGCGTTTTTTTAAAAAAGGTTCAACTGGTTTGATTAAGAGTTTTTTTTCCAGTCTAGTGTGTGACATTTTAGGAGGATCTATTGGTAGAAATGGAGTATAATCGTGTTTTGTTACCTTAGTATGTTTTTATCTACATTATAATATGTGATAAAAGTTTAAAATTGGTGATTGTGTAAATATTTTACAGGGTTTTTGAAAAAGTTTCAACTGTTGTGATAATATAGTGATAAAATGATCATTAGCAGCTTTACTTGTGACTTTTGAAACATTCACAACGTGGTCCAGACAAATTATGGTCGTGTGAAACTTAAACATTATTTTCTTATTGTTCACAAATACTCTCTGCTCCTTTAACGTGTCTGGATGAACCTGTTTTCTGTTTAAACAGATAGTTGTGGCCCCCTGTTGACCTGCTGCTTGTTACTGTATTGTACATCCCATAAACTCTGCAGCGACACCAATATATGAGCGTTGTTTTCATATCAGCACTTATCAGTCTAGTGTGTGACATTTCAGGAGGATCTATTGGTAGAAATGGAGTATTATCATGTTTTGTTACCTTAGTATGATCTGTTTTTATCTACATTATGAACATTTTTACATTTGAAAAGGTGGAAACTGATCTTAATCTCTTTATGGACCATTCAGTTAATCATCCAATCCTCAGAACTATAATCAAACAACTACACAATTTGGGAAGAAACTAATTATTCAGCCACAAAAATGTTTGATGATCTTAATCTTTACTGTTATTTGGATCTTTGGTGACAATTATTCAGCCACCAAACAGGCTGAACACCAGTACAACAAAGCAGTGACACACTACAGGCTTAGTGCTGCTCAGAGGAAGCTCCTCCGACAGTCGTGATAATGAAAATGATCATTAGCAGCCTTACTTGTGACTTTTGAAAGGTACACAATGTGGTCCAGATGTGGTAGTGTGACGTTAACGCCCTGAATGATTACTATGAGCCGTCTACTGTCACAGTCTGCACAAACATCACACTGTAGGAACAAGAACATCGTATTTTTGAGTGGAGGACTTCAAGAGTCTGTCTACTGTCCGTGCCCCCCAGTAACATTTTAAGAAGTAGCTGCCACCATGAGTGCGTTTTACTTTCTTTTGAATTACCACACAGTAATTGTTACAGACAGCCTGCGGCCGTCGAGACGCTTCAGTAAGGATAAGAATTAAGAAGTGGCTCCAGGCTGTCCGATCAAAAGCCTCGGAGCTTATCAATTCTGTTGATCACTTCCTGCATGTTTATAGGACACCAGACTACTATAACTCTCCTCTTTGACTACACCGTGCTCAGACCACAGAGCTAACAAAAGATTATTTTACAGAACACTGATCAGGAATCAATAAAAAGGGGATAAACAGGGAGTTTGTTGTTCTCAGTAACCAGAACATCAACGTCCACCTGCACTCTTCAGTGCAGACGAGCAGAGTGAAACCAGCCCAGCAGACGGATTTGGAAAGAGACTAGTTTTAGGTGATGAAGAGCAGTAACCTGAGAAACGTCGTGTGGCGACAGATAACGTATCAAGTGTTACTTTATTGGACTGCATATTTACGTTTGCCTTGGCATCGCTGAAGCTCTCCTGCCCCGAGAGATTTTCCTCTTCTTAAAGTCAGAAGCACAAAGACATCCCACATGTTCAACTAAATTCAGATTCATTAGAAAAAAGAAAGAAAAAAAAAAAAGACAAGAAAACATTAAATGTCTCTGAACAACAAACTCAAAGCCGAACGCTGCCTGAAAGTTTTCTACAGACACTTTATGAAACCAAAATGTGAAGACATTGGAATTTTCTCTGTGTGATCATCTATATCAATCTGTAACCAATTTTATTCTCATTAGGTGTAATTCAGCTGTTATATACACACACATTATTCATCAGTTTCAGTGCCGCTTTAACCGTTTGTAATCCAGTAAGATCATCTCCTCCTCCGCCTGCTCTCGGTGAGATAATACAAAATAAATTACAAATCTGTTTCCAGGCATGCACACTCACACCTCACTCATTAAAATCAACTTGTACTAATTTCACATCATTTGTTTGTTTTGTTTTTTTATATTCCTTTTTCACTTTAATGAACACCAACTGTAGTTTTAAACAAAAAAAAAAGAACCAAAAAGAAAGAAAGAAAAGAAAAGAAAAAAAACAACAACAACAACAAATGTTCCGGGGGGGTCGGGGAGGAGGGAAGAGTCTCGACAACAGGTTGGATGACTTGATCGGTATGTTTTTCAAAAACCACATCAAATTGTAAATTCTATATAGATATACTCGTTCAACAAGTCTGCATATTCTGTCACATTAGATACATTTGACGTTATGTGGAAGTCACCTATTAAATCACCACTTCAGTGTTAAATATTTACTGCAAACCAGTCGACCAGTTTAAGGCTTTCCAAGTTTGACAGCGGAGTCGAGTCGATCGGTCACGTCCACGCCGTCCGGGGGGGACTCGGGCCTCGCCGGACTCTCAACCCTATCGAGAGGCGTTTCCTGATGTTACTTCTGAATGAAAAGGCCCCGAAAAAAGTAGTGTTGTGATCTTTTTTTTTTTTCCTTTTAAAAGAATTAAATGAAAAGTTATACGGTTACCCTTTCCTCCCTCTTCTCCCCCAAAACTCCCTCAGCTCTGTCCAGTCAGAGTTTTTGTAAAGTTTGAATCATAAAAATAACTATATTTAAAACTCCCCCCCCCCCCCAGTTCTTGTCACTAGCGCTGAACTAATGACATATTGGCGTTGTTTTATACGACAGTTCAGATCAAGCCGATGTTCATTTAAATGTTAAGATTAATCATAATAATTGACTGAGGTGAGAGAAAAG